AAACTGTGTAAACAAAGGCTTCACATACGAAGTTGGAGGTGTGAACAAGGTGCTGATTATCAAAAAACACTATGATAGTCCAAATTTTTGTATCGGATTAAACGAAAATCCAGTATTTTCTCATCAGAATATCAGGTGAAATTATTAATAAATATATAAGAAATGGTTTTGTGCTCTGATATTATATTGAAATAGCCGAAATATTCGTTAAACCGCTATCCGATAAAATGGAAGCCACTGTACCCCCATTCTGATGTGAATATACACAAGTTCAGTTACTGACAGACACAGGGATGAACAAGAAGTTGACATCAGATTTGTACAAAAATGAATCCCATCATATGGCATGCCTCAACAAAGAGTATGAAAAAATTTCATGCATCTGCAATGAGTTTTAGCTGAGAAAACTGCCACTAAAATTTGTTATGCATGGTACGGACAGACGCAGGGATAATCAGGAGGTTGACATCAGATTCATACAAAAACAAGATGTGTTTGTGAAACACTGATGCCCCCGTATGGCGAAGGTTAAAGTTTCTTCAAATGCAAGTCAAAATCCAGGCCAAAAGATAAGAAATGTTGATACCCAAAGAAAGGTCTTGTCTCGAGGAATACACCTATGAAATTTTAAAGACCTAGATACAACTGTTCAGAAGTTATGGCGAAGGTTAAAGTTTTTTGAATAAAAGTCAAACGTCAAGGTCAAGGTCAAAGTGGTTGGTATCCAAAGGAAGATCTTGTCACAAGGATTACATATGTGAAGTATGAAAGCCCTAGCACCAACCATTCAAAAGTTATGGCCAAGGTTAAAGTTTTTCAAAAGTAGGTCAAACTCCTAGGTCAAGGTCAAAGGGTCAAATAGGTTCATATCCAAAGGAAGGTCTTGTCACAAGGATTACATATGTGAAGTATGAAAGCCCTAGCATCAACCATTCAAAAGTTTTGGCCAAGGTTAAAGTTTTTCAAAAGTAGGTCAAACTCCTAGGTCAAGGTCAAAAGGTCAAAGTGGTGGTTTGTATCCAAAGGAAGGTCTTGTCGCAAGGATTACATATGTGAAGTATGAAAGCCCTAGCTCCAACCATTCAAAAGTTATGACCAAGGTTAAAGTTTTTCGAAAGTAGGCCAAACTTCTAGGTCAAGGTCAAAGGGTCAAAGTGGTTGATATCCAGAGGAAGGTCTTGTCACAAGGAATACACATGTGAAGTTTGAAACCCCAAGCACCAACTGTTCAAAAGTTATGGCCAAGGTTAAAGTTTTTCAAAAGTAGGTCAAACTCCAAGGTCAAGGTCAAAAAGTCAAAGTTGTTGGTATCCAAAGGAAGGCCTTGTCACAAAGAATACACATGTGAAGTTTGAAACCCCAAGCACCAACTGTTCAGAAGTTATGGCTAAGGTTAAAGTCTCATAAAATTTTGCAAAAGTAGGTCAAACTCCAAGATCAAGGTCAAAAGGTCAAATATGATGGTACCCAAAGAAAGGTCTTGTCACAAGGAATACACATGTGAAATATGAAAGTCATAGCTCCAACCAATCAAAAGTTATGGGCAAGGTTAAAGTTGACAACAGACAGACAGACAAACAGACAAACGGACAAACAGACAAACAGATAAACAGACAAACAGGACAAAAACAATATACCCCCGGGATCTTTCTATCCGGGGGCATAATAAATTCCAACATGTGGCATGCCTAAACAAAGAGTGTGCTAAAATTTCAAGCATCTGCGATGAGTAGTTGCTGAGAAAACTGCCACAAAAATTTGTTATGTATGGTATGGACAGACGCATGGATAAACAGGAAGTTGACATCAGATTCGTACAAAAATAAATTCCAAAATATGGCATGCCTAAACAAGAGGCCCAAGGGCCTTGAATCGCTCTTCTGATAAACTGTACAACCTATCACTTCTATTTGAAGCCTCTAAGTATCCTGTATATTTAGATAAACCCTTAAAATTCCAATTCACATTCTGAGAACCCAAGATGATTCTAAGCCAACTAGTACCTGAGAGTTGGTCAGGTGACCTACTTTACACTTGTCATTCTCTGAGGGCCCATCAACTAAGTTTGATGATTCTAAGCCAATTTATACCTAAAATGTTTTTTAAAATTATAACCATAAAATTTTATAAGTTGTACTCGGAAGGACCCAAGATGCATCAACTGACAAAATTTGATGATTCTAAGCCAATTAGTACCCAAAATATTTAATTAAAGCCATAAATTTTCAAAAGTAGGTCACGGAGACCTACTTTTCAGTCAGCCTACTCCGAAGACCCAAGATGCATCAACTGACAAAGTTTCAAATTGATGATTCTAAGCCAATTAGTACCCAAAATAATTAATTAAAGCCATAAATTTTCAAAAGTAGGACACAGTGACCTACTTTTCAGTCTACCTACTCCGAAGACCCAAGATACATTAACTGACAGTTTGATGATTCTAGGCCAATTAGTACCTGAAATATTTAATTAAAGCCATAAATTTTCTAAAGTAAGTCACGGTGACCTACTTTTCATTCGACCTACTCCGAAGTCCCAAGATGCATCAACTGACAAAGTTTGATGATTCTAAGCTAATTAGTACCTGAAATATTTAATTTAAGCCATAAATTTTCAAAAGTAGGTCACAGTGACCTACTTTTCAGTTGACGTTTTTTAGGGACCCAGGATGCATCAACTTACAAAGTTTTATGATCATAGGCTTTAAAATGTCCAAATTATGCCTCTAAAATGCTTTGAAATCGAATGCCTGCAAAGTTCAAAAAGTAGGTCACTGTGACCTACTTTTTAATATATATGTTTTATGGCCCCATGATGCATCATCTTACAAGATTTAATGATTCTAAACCTCTCGGTATTTGAATTAATGACCTTAATTGTTTTGTAAAAGATTAGCCATCAAGTTCAAAAAGTAGGACAAGGTGACCTAGTTTTTAGTTGACATACTTCAAGGACCCAAGATGCATCAACTGACAAAGTTTGATGATCATAGGCCTTAAATTGTTCAAAATATGCCTCTAAATCATTTTGAAAAAGAATGGCTGCAAAATTTAAAAAGTAGGTCACCCTGACCTACTTTTGAGTCAACATGATACGAGGTCCTTAGATGCATCAACTGACAAGATCTGATGATCCTAGTCCTTATAGTAAGCAAAATATCAACATTTTAATAAAATGTAATTTTTGGTCAACTTTGAAGTGACCTTGAGACCACACCCTTTGCCCCAGGGTAAATCCTCATGCAAATTTTAATCTACAACATATCCTCATCCTTTTGTGTAAGTTTGGTGATAATCTGCCCAGTGGTTCTTGAGAAGAAGGTTTTTTAGCAACCAGTACTTTTGTTTCTATTTTCCTAATTATCTCCCCTTGTTAAAGGGTCACAACCCTAGTTTTAGTATAAAAGGGAGCCCTGGGCCAAGGATACCCTGTGACAAATTTGACAATAATTGGCCAAGGGGTTCTTGAGTTATGGCCCATATTCTAAAAAGTTTAAGCACACCGCACAAATGGCCATAGCATTAGCTCTTTGAGCCTTTGGCTCAGAAGAGCTAAAAAAGAGTGTGCTAAAATTTCAAGCATCTGCGATGAGTGGTTGCTGAGAAAACTGCCACGAAAATTTGTTATGTTTAGTACAGACAGACGCACGGATAAACAGGAAGTTGACCACGGATTCATACAAAAATGAATCCCACCATATGGTATGCCTAAACAAATTGTGTGCTAAAATTTCAAGCATCTACAATGAGTAGTTGCTGAGAAAACTGTGATGAAAAATTTGTTACAGACACTCACACACACACAAAAACAGACACACAAGGGTAAAACAGTATACCCCTCTCCTTCAGAATGGGGGTATAATTAACCCAAACAAAACTGTTTCTTATCTGAAAACAACTAAAAATTTTCCCAATGAAATAAAATTTCAAAAGTTGAAACCCCCCATTAGAGGAAAAAAGTTAGGCTAGATTTTTTTCCCAACTATGTCAATGATTGATTTTTAAGCAGCTGGCATAAACACTTTGCTTGAGTGATGTATTGGAACTTTCTTTTTTTTTTCTCTTTTCAATCTGAAATTTTTTTAGAATATAATACTGAATTAAATGGTTTCAACTGAATTGAAAGAGTAACATTTAATGATGAGCACTTCATTTTATCAGAAGGAATAGATGAAATAAGGTGATAACAAACAGTAATCAATCTCAAAAGTCCATTGAAACAATACAAATCAGAAGAGCAAACACAGACCTCTGAAAACCATCAGAGGTGGAATCAGGTGAAATGGAGGAGTTAACATCCTCTGTCGACTGGTCACACCTGCAGTGTGCTCATTGTCATGATCGGGCAAACAGAAAAATCAATACACAATTCAATTGTTAAATAATGGCCTAACAATTAGTATGAAATGCCAGTCAGCATTTGACTTAATGATAGATTGTATTTGCTGACAAGGTCACTGTATTGACCATTGAACTTGCGAAATGATGACTTTAAAAAGTTGTTGATATCCTTGTTTCATCCACTTGTTTGTCAATAGCTTGCCTCATTTTAGAAATCGTTTGTACATGGAGCATGCTCTTGCGTGTTGAATTAATTGAGAGAAATAATCAATGGGTTAATTTGTTTGGGTCAAAATTAAGTGATATTCTCTAAATTATAATTACTGATGAAAATGTTGTTACTTTGACATGGCCATAGGAACGGGGGGGGGGGGGGCGTTCCCCCCCTCCCAATAATTTTGCCGATATATAGATTACTATAGAAAACATAGATACTATATGCCTGTGCCCCCTCAATAATTTTTTTTTTTTTGCTTGTCAAGAAATTTTTGGTAGTTGATAGTGCCCCCTCAACTGAAAATGTATGGCTGTGCTCCCCCAAACTGAAATTGCTTCCTATGGGCCTGCTTGAAACAGTAAAAAACCAAAACAATTGCATATAAACATAGAGACAACTCATATTTACTAATGAATCTGCATCTAGAGTTCTTCTCCACTCACCTTCAATGCATAAAATTTTCTGTTTCCTTATATCACCTTGATGTTTAGCTGGTTGTCTCTCCATTATGTCAAAGTCATATGTGTATGTTATACCATCCTCATCTGTGACATCTATCGATGATAAGCCTTTCTCATCTGCCTCATTGAGTTTGATGTTGCATTTTTTAGATACAAATTCCCATTTGTAATCTCGAAAGACACACCATCTTCCAGTACCCTGAAGATTCAATAAAAAACATTTCTTTTTCAAAAGAGAAGAGATAAAAACTGCAATTCGATCGATCATTTTCAACTTTAGAAATTATAAAGAAAAACTTCATTAAATACCATCATTCAGTCAAAATTAGTAAATATACCTAACTTTGGAGTGTTCCCAAGAATGCATGTGTTGCCTGCTCTAGTAACATACATATACATGTAAAAGAATCTAAGAGTGGTCAGCTATTTATTTGCATTCTAGTATTATAGTTCATACATTTGTTTGTTTGTTTGTTTATTGTTTAATGTCCCTCTCGAGAATTTTTCACTCATATGGAGACACAACCACTTGCTGGTGGTATACTCGGCACTCAGGGCCATTGAGGAGTGAGGGATCTTTTTTGTGCATTTACTGTGATACTGAACCTCGGTTTATACAGTCTTATCCTAAGGATCGGTCTCGGCATGTCCCACAGTGGGATTCAAACCCACAAGGTAAGGATCAACTCCTTTATACTCCACAACTCTAGAACGAACACACTAACCACATTAATGCTTTGTTCACTTAAAAAAAAATACATATTGTCATGTTTATTTTTAAATTGATTGTTACAGAACATGGATGTGTCCTTTTTTGATGGACTCATAAAATTGCAGACTAGTAAAAGTAAAGAAGCACTAATTCAGCCGGACTAAAGCCTAACAAGAGGCCCAGGGGCCACATCGCTCACCTGAGCACTGTGGCTAGGAAAAAAGCAAAAATCAACTAGATATTGAGATGGTGGCCATCTCAAAGGGCCCGCTTTCAGCAATGAACATGGAAATGTAAGGTAGCTGAAAAGGGTTTATTTTGAAGAGGAACATTTGTGTACCATTAAGGGATGTGTTGCTTGAGTCTAAAGGGCTTCTATGTTATCCTCGTTATAATAAAAAATGGCAAGAAAATCACAAGTGCTCAACACCTTCCATCAAAAAAAGGCACAAAAATCACGAATGCTGCATATCCTCTATGAAAATTGTTGCATATCCTCTATCAAAAATATGGAAGGAAAATCACAAATGATATGTACCCTACGTCAGTTGGTAAGGTTTGAGGCTGACTGGACTTAAGGGAAAGAAATTATGCACCGAACAAAGATTTTAAACTGAGAGGCTATTTCTGAAATTGACCATTGACCTAGAAACTTCGTTCAAGGTCACTGCACATCCACTGACAAGTGGCACTCTGTGAGTGAAGTATGAGCCACATTGGACCAAGGGGAGAGAAGTTATGCTCTGGACAAGGATTTTTCATATAATTCTGCTATGACCTTATCCTTAGACCAAGAAACATGGTTCAAGGTCACTGCACACCCTTTACCCAATGACACTCTGTGGGTTAAGCATGAGCCAGATTGGGCCAAGGAGAGAGAAAATATGCTCTGGACAAAAATTTTAACAGAGAGGCTTTTTATGACCTTGACCCTTGACCTAAAAACTTTGTTCAAGGTCACTGCACGTCCATTGACCAGTGGCACTCTGTGAGTGAAGTATGAGCCACATTGGATCAAGGGGAGAGAAGATAAGCTCCGGACAAGGATTTGTCATATAATTCTGCTATGACCTTGACCTTAGACCTAGAAACATGGTTCAAGGTCACTGCACACCCTTTACCCAAAGACACTCTGTGGGTTAAGTATGAGCCAGATTGGGCCATGGAGAGAGAAAATATGCTCTGGACAAAAATTTTAACAGAGAGGCTTTTTATGACCTTGACCCTTGACCTAAAAACTTTGTTCGAGGTCACTGCACGCCCATTGACCAGTGGCACTCTGTGATTAAAGTATGAGCCACACTGGACTAAGAGAAGAGAAGATATGCTGTGGAAAAGGATTTTTCATATAATTCTGCTATAACCTTGACCTTAGACCTTCCATATAAATATGACTAATCATAACTTTGCTGTTCTTGAGAAGAAGATTTTTGAAGATTTCTCTAATATACAACTTTGATCGTGATTTGATTAAACTTGAATCTACACAACCTTCAGATGTTTCCATATAAATATGACCAATCACGGCTTTCCTGTTCTTGAGAAGAAAAATTTTTAATATTTTTCCTATATACTCCTATGTTAAACTTTGATCGTCCACTGCGGCCCCACCCTACCCCCAGGGGTCACGACTGGAACTTGATTCAACACCTCCTGAAGATGCTTTCATATAAATATAACCAATCACAGCTTTGCTGTTCTTGAGTAGAAGATTTTTGAAGATTTTTCCTATATACTTCTATGTTAAACTTTGATCGTCTATTGTGGCTCCACCCCTACCCCTGGGGGTCATGATTTGAACAAACTTGAATCTACACCACCTGAGGATACTTTCACATAAATATGACCAATCACTGCTTTGCTGTTCTTGAGAAGAAGATTTTTAAAGAATCTACACTACCTGATAATGATTTCACATGAGTTTCATCTTTCCTTGCCCATTCGTTCTTGAGAAGAATTTTCAATGATGACATTAATTTTCCTCAATTACTTAATTATCTCCCCTTGGAGGAAGGTGTGGACCATTATTTGAACAAACTTGGATCCCCTTCACCCAAGAATACTCTGTGCCAAGTTTGGTTGAAATTGGCCCAGTAGTTCTGGAGAAGAAGATGAAATTGTGAAAAGTTTACAATGACAATGCCAACAACGAGAGACAACTGACAAATTTTGATCAGAAAAGCTCACTTGAGCCTTCGGCTCAGGTGAGCTAAAAATGTTAGTGTCAAACCCTGAGATTTCACACAAGTTTCAATTTTTTTGGTCTAGTGGTTCTTGAGTAGAAGATTTTTTTAAAAGAAACCACCAAATTTTCACAAATTCTTAATTACTCCATACAGGGAAATTTTTGGTCCCGCTTTATTTTTGTCCCTTTCATCCTACTCACAGGTAAGCGAATTTTAAATGGGGCGAATTCAAAGAACACAATATAATTTCTTAAATAGAACAGTGACTGGGCAAAATAACAAGAGGCCCAAGGGCCTTAACGGTCACCTGAGTATAAAACAACAATCCAAAGAGGATTCCATGAAATATAAATTGAGAGGTGAAAAAAAAAAACAAAAAAAAAAAAAAAAACAGGTTATACTATATAAATGAATTTTTTATCCAATCAAATGACGTGTTACAACCAAAATTAAATTATATTAATTAAAATGACTCATCATGTTTTTGAGAAAATTTTTAAATGATCTTTCCTATAAATTCCTAACTAAAAAAACTTTGATAATCTGTTGTGCCCCCTCTCTATCCCAGGGGGTCAAGATATGAACAAATTTGAATTAACATTACCCAAAGATGCTTGCATATACATAAGACAAATCATGGCTTTGCTATTCTTCAGAAAAAGATTGTTAAAGATTTTTCATATGTATTCATGTGTAAATCTTTGATCATCCATTTTGGCCCAACTCTATCCCCAGAGTCATGATTTGAACAAACTAGAATCTATACTATCTGAGGATGCTTCCATGTAAATATAACCAATCATGGTTTTGCTGTTTTTGAGAAAAGATTTTTTTCAAGATTTTCCTACGTATTCCAATGTAAAACTTTCATTGTCCATTGTGGCCCTATCCTACCCTACCCCTGGGAATCATTTAAAAATGATTTTAAAAATTTATCTTTAATCTACACTACCTGAAGATGTTTCCATACAAGTTTCATCTTTCTTGGCCTAGTAGTTCTGGACAAGAAGATTTTTCACGTATTTCCATGTTAAATTTTGATCATTCATTGTGGACCGCCCTACCCCAGGGGGCATGATTGTAACAAACTTGAATCTACATTACCTGAGGATGTTTGCACACAAGTTTCATCTTTCTTGGCCCAATGGTTCTGGAGAAGATTTTTCCTATGTATTCCTATGTAAAACTTTGATTGTCAATTGTGGCCACACCCTACCCCCTGGGGGGGGGAGGGGGGGCATGATTTGAACAAAATTGAATCTTCTCTACCTGAGGATGTTTGCACATAAGTTTCATCTTTCTTGGCCCAGTAGTTCTGGAGAAGAAGATTTTTCCTATGTATTCCTATGTAAAACTTAGATAGTCCATTGTGACCTTACCCTACCCCCAGGGGTCATGATTTGAACAAACTTGAATCTACACCATCTGAGGATTTTTTCCATATAAGTTTCATCTCTCTTGGCCCAGTGATTCTTGAGAAGAAGGTTTTTTAAAGATGCCATTAATTTTTTCACAAATTCTTAATTATCTCCCGTTGGCAAAAGGCTTTGTCCTTCATTTGAATAAACTTGAATCACTGTTACCCAAGGATACTTTCTGGCAACTTTGGTTAGGTCACCGGAGTGACACAGGTGACCTAAAAATGGGGCAAAATTGTTTGCAAGTGTGAAAGGGCGAAAATAACAGGGAAAAAAAAATAACCCTGTATACAGTATCTCCCCTTGAAAAAGGGCATCAATGACTTCATTTGAACAAACTTGAATCCCCATCACCCAAGAATGCTTTGCAGCAAGTTTGGTTGAAATTGGCCATGTAAAACGTTAATCACCAGCTGTGGTCTCATCAAACCCCTGGGGGTAATGATTTGAACAAACTATATATCTATACTACCTGAGGATGCTTCCATATAAAGATAACTAATCATGGCTTTGCTGTTCTTGACAAGAAGATCTTTCCTACACATTCCTATATAAAGCTTTGATCACCGACTGTGGCACCACCGGAGGGTCATGATTTGAACGAACTTTTAATTCACACTAGCTGAGGATGCTTCCATATAAATATGACTAATAAGGCTTTGCTGTTCTTGAGAATAAGATTTTTAAAGATGTTATCCTATATATTCCTATGAAAAACTTTCATTGCCAATTGTGACCCCCCCTACCCCCTACCCCCTGGGGTCATGTCTTGAACAAACTTGAATTTTTTAATTACAAGATATTTTCGTATAAATATGACTTATCATGGCATTGCTAAAAGATGCCATTATACATTTAGTTTAACTAATTCTTAATTATCTCC